CTTCTTTGTGATACAGGGAAGGATTCTGTAAACACTGCTCCTATGCCAACTCACACAACATTAGGCTTGGTCAATACAAAGTGGTAGAGGAATACTCCAACGTCACGGAAAGAGAAGAGGGCTTTTCTGTCTGGTTCTCTTTCTGGTTCAGATGCATTTTCATTCTTTGGTACAATTTCAAAGGACTAGCATGTTGTGAGTTTTCAGCCACTAGGCAGGATGCTCTCATGGACTGGTTTCCGCATGTACCTTCACATGTTTCTTTACCTGCAGCAGTGGCGTGTTTCTGTAGCAGTAACATCCTCTCAAGGGGATCTGAATCTTGGTCCCAGGGGGGAAGGACTCTCTCCAAGGACTTAGTTCCTTCCTTGTTCATCACGCTTCACTCCCAGAATTAGATGCTGCCTTCTGCATTGCTAATTCTGTATTGCTTGGAGTCTTCTTTTATCCTGTTCTATTATTTAACCACCTTGTACTGGTTAATAATTCATTATATTAGATTTTCTCTGTTCAAATTATGTTATGGATCCTTTCCTCTGACTGGATTCTGACGATAGAGTAAGTAGGTGCCCACTTGGTGGTCTTGTCATTAATCAGACTTCCTCCAAACAAACTACTGGTAAGACTGAGTACACAAGGTGAATAAAGATGGAAATAAAGGAGAAAATCTGACAAGACCAATGAGAATTCTATAGGACTGTGTTAGGCTAGGTGATTCAAGGGAAACATACAGTTAGAAAAACATCTAAGGCCTTCAAGCATTCAGAGCCTACTGAGACGTCAAATACGTATTTCATTTTGGGGAATATTTCCACATAAAGGTGCACATGCACACACAATTACACGCATTTACACACACATACACTCCGATATAGAGAAGGAAAACTAAAATGTCAAAGTAAATGACTTTTTAATTTAAACGTTGCCAATTACAATCCCACTCACCTCAATTCAATCTATATAAAATTCAGGGTATTAAGCATATGTTAACGTTTATAAAATGTGTGGTAGGGCCCCCCCAAATAACAAAGTGTATCTTGAGCTTGCTAAAATGTTTTTAAAGTTCTTGGGCTAAATTCACTGATGAAACCAAAGTTATCAGTTCAATTCAGACATGAGGAAATTTCAATTTGTTCCTTTGCTAATGACTGCACATGTAACATCAGCTACCAGCTTCTTCTTATTTAATTTTGCATATAAACTTAATTAACATTTATTTTATTTTTTAAGAATGACAGCAACAGACAGGACTACAAACACACAACAGTTAGAAGCACTATCACCTAAGAATGACTGCTTCACCTGCACATGGTCCTGTAGCACAGGCTTTCTTCCATTTTGTTTTTTTACTTGATTTTTCCCAGAATTCAGGATTTGTAAAAATAAGTAAATTTTCTGACAATGCCTGGGAGGAATTTCTGCATGTAAATGGTAGCTGAATGATGATAGTTTCTTTCTTATTTTTAATTTCAACTTTATTGAGATATAATTGACAAATAAAATTGTAAGATATTTCAAGTGTACATTGTGCCAATTTGATATATGTAGGCATTGTGAAAGGACTCCCTCCATCTACTTAATTAACACATCCATCATTTCATTTATTTATTAGTTTTATAGTGAGAACATTACAATTCTACTCTCTTAGTGAATTTCAATTATACAGAACAGTATTATCAACCATAGTCACCAAAGTCATTTACTTTGACATTTTAGTTTTCCTCAGACCTGACTCATCTTACAGCTGAAAGTTTGAACCCTCTTACCAACTTCTCCCCACTTCCCTCATCTCCCAGTCCCTGGCCACCCCTTCTCTACTCTCTGTTTCTATGAGTTCGACCTTTTCTTTAAATTCCACATGTAAATGATCATGCAGTATTTGTCTTTCTCTGTCTGACATCTCACTTAGCATAATGCCCTCAGAGTCCATCCACGTTGTCGCAGATGGCAGGATTTCATTCTTTCTTGTGGCTGAATAATATTCCACTGTGTATATACACATCATGTTTTCACATCTTGGCTATTGTGAATAATGCTGCAATGAACATGGGAGTGCAGATATCTCTGTTTTCATTTCCTTTGGATGTAGATCCAGGAGTGGGATTGCTGGATCATATGGTAATTCTGTTTTCACTTTTATTTTTTATTTTTTGCTGAGGAAGATTAGCCCTGAGCTAACATCTGTTGCTAATCTTCTTCTTTTTTGTGCTTGAGGAAGATTAGCCCAGAGCTAATATCTGTGCCAGTCTTCCTCCACTTTATATGTGGGTCGCTACCACAGCATGGCTGATGAATGGTGTAGGTCTGCACCTGGGATACAAACTCACGAACCTGGCTGCCAAAGCAAAGCACACTGAATTTAACCACTATGCCACAGGTGGGCCCTATTTTTATTTTTTTGACTAACCTCTATACTGTTTTCCAGAGTGGTTTCACCAGTTTACATTCCCACCAATGGTGCACAAGTGTTCCCTTTCCTTCACATCCTTGCCAACACATTATCTCTAATATATTTGATTAAAGCCATTCTAACATGTATAAGGAGATATTTCATTGTTGTTTTGATTTGCATTTCTCTGATGGTTAGTGATGTTGAGCACCTTTTCATGTACGTATTGGCCATCTGTTTGTCTTCTTCAGAAAAACGTCTATTAAGCTTTTGTGTCCATTGTCTAATCAGACTGTTTGGTTCAATTACTATTGAGTTGTGTGAGTTCTTTATATATTTTGATATTAACCTCTTAACAGATACATGATTTGCAAATATTTTTCTCCCAATCTACAGGTTGGCTTTTCATCCTGTTGATGGTTTCCTTTGCCATGCAGAGCTTTTTAGTTCAATGTAGTTCCACTCGTTTACTTTGGGTTTTGTTGCCTTTGCTTTTGGTGTTAAATCCAAAAAATCATTACCATGACTTATGTCAAGAAGCTTATCTCCTATGTTTTCTTCTAGGAGTTTTATGGTTTCAGGTGTTAATATTCAGGTTTTAATCCATTTTGAGTTGAAGCTACTAGCTTTTCAAGTGGTGTTAGTAATGTCAAAGACTGGTCAAAACAAAGGGGTGGAAGATTAATCTAATCCATTACCAATACTGAAAAAAAAGTCACTTCATACATTTTGCTAAAGATATATGACCTGAGTTTGCCTAAAACTCCCAAATAACAAATATTTTGTATGTCTAGAAAAAAATATATATGTACATTTATGTATATCTATGTACATATGTATATTTTTGGGGTTTATTGTTTTGAGGTAAAATAATTACTTTGAAAAAAAATTTCAATATAGTAACTATGACCACTAATACTCACAAGAGAAAAGCTACAACATTGAAAACTTTGATATTTTGGGGTCCTGTATCATTTGCCTTTCTGTTTTGGCTGGAAAAAGACACCAGAGGTAATCAAATAAGAACCACCATTTATAGGATATTCTGCTAGTTTTTCAATGTGGTGCTTGAAAAAATTCTGACTCTGCACTTGATTCCACGCAAAAGTTAGGTGCTCATTCTCACTCTGTCTCTAATATTTGGGAGTATTTACTAAGACAACCTGCACAGAAGTATTATCTTTATAGTCAACTAATAGCTATTGGAATACACACTCTTGGTAAATATGTCTCTGTCATCTTTTTAAGCTCCTGTACACTCTAACGGCTTATGGAAAGAGCTGTATTAATATTTCAGGTCACAACATAAGATACTGCAAGGGAGGGGGAAGAGTTATATTGAAGAGTGGGATTTTTCCTGTTGTTCTAGGACTGTGTCTAAGGCCTAGAGTTGAGGGGGGAAAAGAAGCACTTAAATCTTCACATTTTAATTTGCAAAAACTTCAAAGATCTGCTAGTGTTTGGTGTCAATCACCTTCTGATCACCTCCTGAAAGCTGGGGATACCCACCCTTTTGCCACCTCATATTTCAGCCATCCAAGTCAATACAAGAAAAGGACTATGAGGTCAAAGAAGTGGCTCTGACGGAAGAAAAAGAGGATTTTTTTAATGATAAAAGTGGCATTTCTACTCCCTAAAGAAAAAGTAGGGAGGTCCCAATAGATTGGCTAATAGTGTCTATGAGTGTCTGCAAAAAGGGAAGATCTTTTGTTTTTTGTTTGTTTCTCCATATGGAAAACCTTCAAACTTGTCAACATTCTCCTTGCGCTCTCAGAGAAAGAAAAGAAATTGGAGAGAGATGATACGATGTAGGAAGACCAGGCAAAGAAGAGACAGGGCATCTCCTCTAATTCTCACTCCCTGGGCAATAAGGAAGGTGAATGAGAAATTATTTCAACAACAAGTTCTATAACAGAGCACTACAGTTAGCAGTAGAAATGGAGGACTGATAACCAAAATTTTTACGCTTAATCAAGATTATTTTATCTATTATGTTTCTAGCCCACCAGTTTCTAACCCACCAGACCAATTTCCCTCTCCTATCTATCTCATTTTAAAGAAACATAAACACCAGTTCCATAGACTCTAAGAATGTCAAGATTCTAATTTTCTTTAGATTGATGTATATGTGCCTACTATGTATGCGGAATGTATGTATTGTACGTATGTAGATAGCATGATAAGGCACCCACCTTACTCAAGGCCAATAGAAAATTTCCTTTTATAACTCTGACTATGACCACATTCTATAGGAAGCAGTTGTCTGCGAAACCATATAGACTTTACTTACGGAAGTCCAAGCAAGTGCCTTAATCCTAGAAAAAGATTCTCAGTAATACAATTATTTTCATTTAAACAATGGTTTACCACACTGTAGCCAGGTAGACAAATTTTGAAGAGAATATAAGGGCTAATCTGAACACTCAGGCTGGAACAGTGCACCACAGACACAAACATTACCATCTCTAATTCTCCGTGTTTGGGAGTAGACTAAATAGGCATGAGACAGATACATAATTCTGTAACACTAAAGATGCTTGTTTATTCTAAATTATCCCCATCTTCACTTCCCATTATATGAAGTAAAAATACTAGTTAATGAAAAACTCACCATATCTGTATCTGAGACAGGGCCAAAACTGGTCACGTAGATATTTGTGAAGACTTCAGTGATGCTGTCTGATATGAGAAAAAGAGATTGAATATAGATATTATATAATGAGAATCACAGGAAAGAAAAGTGGTCAGGTACATGGCATGGTTAGAAAGCTGCATGATATTTAGGAATATTGCTTTTTACTTTGTTTTCAACTTTTACAGATAACAAAAATAGCTATATTGCTCAATTATTGCATAGGTTCTCACAATCCTAAACACTAAATGCCTAGAAGTATCAGGACATTCTTTCATATCACGACAACCCAGTTACAGCAATTTGTTTTAAGCATGTTGCTCAGAAATAATAGTTTCTTAGAAACTATCTTAAGTGAACTAGTTTACAATAAATTTACCACCAGTACTGAAAAAAAAGTATAGTTAGTATGGTTACCATTTGATATAGTCTTAAATTTGACCCTTAAACTAAATATTTCAGGTTGTATTTCATGGTGGTAGAGATTTAGTTTGTAGATTGTAAATTAATATACCTTCTCAATAAAGCACAAGAACAGATTGTTAATCACTACAAATAAATTTAATTCATTTTAATATAAAAAGTATTATTCGGTGACATAAAAGTAGAAGCAAATAACATACATTAATCACAATGGATTCCTTCCAAACAAGCTTGCCTTTAAATATATTTAAGACTGTCTGAAATGCTGAGAGTGAATTGAATTAGATTCTAAAGTTATGTGACTTATTAACTATAACACAATTAACTGGACTGCTCTAATAACTAAATGATTTAGACTTTTGATTTTAATTAAGCCAAATGGTGTTGGGAGAAAAGCTCAAAGAAAAGGTTATAAAAAAAACTTTTCAATGTTCTTATAAGGCAAAAAATACATCATTAATTTCCATCATCATGAGCTGAATGCCTCATCTACTGTCAAATTTGTCATTGCACACAAACTATATCATGAAATACTTTCATTATCATACTGGACATTAATTCACAGCCATGAAAGAAAGAGTAAATTAAATCTAGATATTATATCCAGTAAGGCAAAAATAAAAAGTAAAAAGGATTTTGAAATAACACAGTAGACTTTGAATGCTTACTCTTCAAAGGATTTGGAATATAATAATCCACGTGACAAACCTATGAGATAGATTTTCTGTTATCACCCCAATGTATGTGTACACTGATGTACTGAAAGGTAAGAAAATGTGCCCAGTGACCCACACTCAGTAAAGCAGATAGAGCCAGGTTTTAGAACCCAAACAATCTGGCTCCTGAGCCCTCAGGCTAAACCAAAGCCTTATACTACAGTCAATCACAAACCTGAAACTAAAAGTGTTTTCCCATTAACTACATATTTCTATTTGCTGCAATACTCTGTACCAAAAGCATAGTTATTGTGTTCCAAATAAATATATTCATTCAACTTTATTATTTTATATACTATTTTATTCCAAAAATTGTATTCACGAAATTTTATTAGAAAACTCATTTGAAACATAAATATATTGATAAAGTTAATTCTCAGCTGCCATCTTCCCCAAAGACCTGCCCAGGGTCAGCTTCAAGGGCATGCAACTTGTGCAACTGCCCAGAACTCCGTGCTCAGCAAAGCCCCATGCTGGGTTTAATGTTCTGTTTTTGCTCTCTTGAAATTCTTCATTATTTTTTGAATAAAGGACCCTGCATTTTCATCTTGGACTGGGCCTCACAAATTACGTAGCTAGTCCTGGACCTGAATTATATATGCTATAAGAAAGAAATTATGAAAAGGAAACCCAAGTTTGTATTTTCTTCTAATTCACACCAAATCAATCATGCTACCACATTTATTCAATAACAATTGAATAACACTTTAGTCATTATAGATATTGATTTAAAATGTTCCAGAGGAGAGAAATTAAAATGTGAAATAGCCTTCACCCAAAAAGAGGCAATGAAATTATTCTCCTCGGTCTGGGGCAGCAAAGTTAGAGAAGAGAGATGACAATAACATGTGAATATCTTCGTGCTAAGCATATGAAGAATATCCACTAGCTGCCAAGTGGCAACTAAAGAGTAAGGGAGAGTATTATCAGTACCTAGTGTCTGCAGGGAGGTGTCAGCTAAGAATCCAAAGAGAGGAAAAATAAGATTACCTTCAAAGCTATAAACAATAAGAGCAACAACTAAAGACGCAGAACACAGATATGCCAAGTTACCTTAAAAAAATGATTTGACTTCATAACCATAGTTAAAGAATGTATGCATTGCAAGGGATATTCTTCTGCTATATCCTTATCAGAAAAAAGGAAAATCAGCAAGGCAAACCCTGACCATGAATACCCAACAGTTACCTGAGTTTGGGAAAGAGATTCTTGGCAATGAGACTTTGAGGATTTCTATATGGACAAATGCGCAGAGCTGTAAAGAACCAACACGCATTAGAACGATATTTTAGTGGGATGACTGAAAATATCTGAGACATCTAACACAACTTTTCAGGGTTCTATATTCAAAGTGCAATCTCTGATTATGATTTGGCTTTCCTGAAGAGAAGAGAAGGGAAGGGAAAGAGATGGAAGGGGAGGGGAGGGAGGAGAGGGGCCATGAAATGATATGAACATAGTTTATTTTCAGATCTTGTGACACTAACTTATCAGAGTCAGTCCATAGTATCTTCTGACATATTTTGTTTTCTCGTGGATTTAGAACAAGGTTGGACTGTGTTGTTAAAACCTGTTACAATATTGTGATTCATGTGACAAATGTATGTTACAGCATAAACAAATGAACTGATATTCTGGTGGCAACCTCAGTCTCTGCATTTTAGGCACCAGGAGTTACTCTCTCAAGTCCTGATCACATTTAGTGGACACACCAAGCACTGTCCTCACTCAGGGCTTTCCCATTGGCTATTACCTCTTCTCCTCCATTTCTAGTTAATTGCTTCTCTGACTTTAAATCTCAACTTAATGTGCTCTCCTCAGAGCAGTGGTTCACTATTCCCACTACATAACGTAAGTCTTCTTTCATTTTCTCTGACACTTCCTTTTTTTATAGGACTTTTTAGAATTTGCATTATTTTCATGTCTTAATATTTTTTTACTTGTTTTTTTGTTTTGTATTTGGTCTGTCTCCCCAGCCAGGATTCAAATGCACTAAAAGACAGGAATGGTGACATTTCTGTTCACTATCATATACCCAGTGCTTATTGGCACAATGCCTGCCACATATTAGGTGCTTTATAGTTGAATACACAGATCATTTCCAATTACAGTTCATGCAGAACACATAATTCTCCCCAAATATTTCATCAACATTAACAATGGGCAAAAATAGCTGTTGCTACTCATAAGGAATGGGCACTGTCATTTGTGAAGGAAGAGCCCAAACTGTTCATCGACAGAGGGCGATTCAAGCCCAGGAAACTGGTTCCCAGGGAAGAAACTGAAAGTCAAGCAAAAGGGGAAAATGTATTTAAAGAAAGCACTATTTCAATGGAAATCAAACCTTAACTGTTGAACAGTAAGCAGCTTTTAATAGAAACATCCACCATGAGTTACCTCAAATTGTTTATCAGCTAAATTTTTGGTTTTAGAGATACCAACAGCATAATATGCAAAAGTAAGAGGATCTTCTATATAGATTTTTCCAAAAGCAAAAACACCATGAGGTTAATAACAGGTACTTTGGGAAAAATAAGGACTGTGTACACTAAACATAGGAGAACGTGTGATCCTTAGGAACAGTCAGTAAATTCAGGATAGCAGCTATCACTGAGGAGAGAGAAAGAGGAATAACCTTCCAAGGGGTACCGAGGGGGCTTCTAATGTATTTCTAACATTGCCCTCCTTTTAAAATTGATCTTAATCAATTTTGGCAAAGTCTTAAGATTTGATGAAGCTGGTCACGGAATAAATCATATTATTCTCTGTACTTTTCTGAATATTTGAAATACTTCATAGAAAAAAAATAAATGGCCTTGAAGGATATCCAAAATGAACATATAAATAATTTCAAGAAGGGTTTAAATTAACTCATGAAAATTGTTCTTCACTGGGTAATGCAGGATACAATAAAAATCAAACCTACTTTAAAATTTCATTGCAAATAGTTGCCTGGCTCATGAATACAGAAGGTGGGGTATCAGGTTATAAAGAAAGAGAGAGGTTGTATCAAAAAAGACCTGATGTGCAAAAATGATGAGAGTATCGTCTCTCTCTATATATATGGCAGCAGGGCATTCACTGAAGGACTTTGATCTGGAGAATGCTATGTCCAAGGTTATTGTACTAGAAGTGTTATGTTACAGTTATAAGAGTGGGAAAACCAAATCAGAGGAGATTAAAGACAATGTATCCAGTTTGGAGGATGCTGCAATAGTTAAGGCGAAAAAATATATAAAAAGACATTAAGAAAAGGAAAGTGTAGAAATCAAGGGAATAGGGGGCTTTTTTTTAAAGTGGTATTGTTAAAAGATGCTGAAATAGGCTCTTCTGTTTGACTACTAGAAGATCTTTAGAGCCTGGAAATTAGCTGTTGCAGTAGAATTGTAAGGGCATAAAACAAATGAAAGAGGACTGGAAAGTAAATGGATGGTGAGGACATGAAGATAGCAAGCAGAAAATATTTTCTTAAAATGCTTGTCAAAAAATATTTGGATGAAATCATGGATAGTTGAACTGTGCTGGGTAATGTTACACACAGTAGCAATCAGACCTTTCAAGCAAAAATTTCTAACATTTGGCAAGAGTAAAATCATATCTTTATGTAAAGCTTTTTGTGAAGGATTGATGGCCATTTGAAATTATGCATGTAAGGCTTGTTGTTTCCAGTGGTTCATTATTGGGTGTATGGCTTTCAACGCAACTGAATACAGCAGTGGGCTTTCATTACTTTCTCAATGAGGTCCACCTTACAATCCTACTTGAAAGTGCAACCTTTTCACATCTCTCCCTGGCTCTATGCATTCATTTACTTATTACGTTTACTGTTTACTGTCTATATCTACCAATATGGTAAACACAAGCTACATGGGGCTATCTCAACTTAAATTTCAATTAAATAAAGTGAA